CAACCACTATGTCCTTCAGCACTTAAAAGGAGTTAACACAAAATGATCACAGTAAAAACATGTCTGTGTTTGCCCAAGGTGTCTTTGTATTGCAAATTCCAGCAAGCCAGGAAGCTGGATGCAGCATTTTGGCTACCATGAGAAAAGAGCAAGGGCAGCCATTTTGGAGGTACTTGGTCTTACCAGATTACTGAGCAGCTGTATCTATTTAAACAGTTTCTAGACATAGCACCCATAGACAATGCTTACCATATAGACATGCACAGTGCCTGTACTGCTTCATAGGGTCTCCTGGTAGTGCTGCATGTTAGTAAGTATTTAAGACAAGTTTAAGACAAACATACTATTTTGTGTCTATCAAAATGCCTTTTAAGTAAGTACAGGAGCCAATAAGCTCTTCCTGTTTTACTCTAGTGATGTGCTAGCATCATGTAATTTACATCTGACACACTTTCCAGGGCTGACAGAGGCTGGGTGTGAATATGTCCTTCGGCACAGTCAACAGCACATGGTTTAAATCAGGGAAAGGCAGCCATCTCTTTGCAGAGCTGATCTTACAGCACAGTGTTTCTGGAGCCATTAGAATAAATTAGAAAAAAATGGAAGACCTTCAAATAGTTTCAAGGGGCTAAGCCAGAGAATATATCTAGGTAGTGATTTCTCAGACATGACTTATGCTTTTGACCTTATTGTCTATGTTGGGAGTAGAAATGCAAGTGATTGATGTAGGAGTAGCTTCAGCAGCTCTGGACCATCAAAGGACTGCTTTTTTTTGCCAGAGAAATACTTAAGGGCCATTCATCCCACCTTAGTCATCAGAGTCCTCTGTCCTAACTGCAAATGGCTGAAGTGAGCATGAGAAGGAAGGGAAGACGTCTTCACGGAGATTCTGGTCAATCTGACCATTTGTGTAATACACTGCATTAAAAAAATATTGTATATCAGATGTAGTTCATGAGCACAGCACAAGGCTCAGTCCTGCCAGGTTTGGATTAGCAGTAAATAGAGACAAAAACTTCTACAGGAAGAAGGTTAATCCTATTTTCTGTACTATTTTGTTTAAATTCTGGAAAAGGGAGCAGTGGTAATCATGGTGGAATTGCAAGAAGAACTAAAAGTAGTCCTCACCCAGTGGGGTAGCAAGAGCCGCCACAAAAACTGGAGGAAGTTTTGATCTCTTGTATCCAGAACTCCACATTAACCAGTCAAGGTAACTTCAGATCTGCATTGACTCCCAGGTATAAGCTGCAAAACCCCTTACATCACTTCAGGATTTTTTCTTGGATGGATTCCAAGCTGCAGAGAAATTCCAAGGGAAGCGCCAGCACAGTGGTAATGCGCAATGAAGCTGGTGTTGCTGTGTAGCATAGCAGCATAGCAGACAGCCATGGTTCTAGAAGGGTGAGACAAGTACATCATTTAAAAATTATCGATTTCAGGGTGTATGACAGGTAGACCCATACAGTTTGTTCCAGCTCTCAAACTATTACTGTAATTTCCACTTTAAATATGGAAAATTCACTTCTAAATTGGGAAATAACCTTCAGTGTGTGCTCACTGTGTTTAAAACATCTTGAAATTATATGATCTGCACATAGATTTTAGGCTGTCTGTAGCTTGTCCTTCTAACTTTATTCTTTACAAGCATTTCAAATTACCAGGGCAGGGTGGTGGCCTTAGGATTAAATTGGCTTTTTTTAAAAATACTTTTACATGAAACATCAACACAATTTTTAAATACTTAACAGGTTCTGAATTTGGGGTTTCTTGCCATTTTGTTTGCAACCCTGCTTTTATTTTAATTACCTTCAGAGATGTGTATTTTTACATAATTTTTTCCAGTTTGAAGTCAGTACCTAACATACCTCTTTACAGAGGTTAAGTACACACTAGCATTGTTATCACACATTATATTTTGTCAGCTTCAGACAATGCAACTACAGTTGCAGAGATGCACTGGAAGAAACCATATAAAGAACTGGATGAATGGCACACAAAATTATGTCAGCTTGATGTCTCTGAAATGCATAATTAATACACTCCACAGAAATAAATCTAAGTGAGAGAAATGGCCCATGGAATATCATTACCTTACACATGCACACACATGCATTACTACCAAAAAATCACTCAGCCTTGGCATGGAAACACTAGCTTATACCAGTTGTCCAAGATGCCCCAGGGAACTGAGTCTTTAACTTGGGATGTACCTGACAATCAGCCTATCTAGTAGACACTAGATTTTGTTTCAGGATGAGCTCTTCTCTTGATGTTTCTGTATCCACTTTTCCAAGTGCATGATCCTCACAAAATGCTTGGAATGCCCTTCCCTTTGTATAGATGAACTAGGACAAGCCAGCTTAAATACTACTCATTGTTATTATTTAATGAATACTCAAGGAGTCAGTCCTTCTGCTGGTGCTTGTGTAGTATTTCTCAGAGCTGAGAAATTGACAATTTACCATTGTCCTGATTATTTTTCTCCTTCTTTACTAATAGGAGGGCGACTTAGAATGACAAGCAAATTTGAAAGTAGCAAGCTGTACAATAACCACATGACCATTATATTTTCATTTTTCAAATAAAAAAAGGAATTGAATCATCTTTCCTCTAGACTCCAATGCAGGAAAGCCAAGCATGAAGTATGTCTTCATTACTGATAGACACCTAAATGGTAAAGCAGTAGACAGTATAAGAAATCCCAATCTTATCAAAATCAGTACCTTTCTCCCATTGACTCTGAAGGAATAAGGATTTTGTTCCAGAAATCCAATCTGACTCTCAGTCAAGCAACCTGATTACATGGGGAAATGTAAACTAGAGGCAGTGATTTGATAATGTTGAATCTAGGTTGTATATAAAAAATTGCTTGAAGAATTACATGATAGTATCTTACTACTATCTTTTTTACAATAGTTTTCAAACAAATATATATTTTCTGAGAATTATGGCAAGATTTGAATTACAGAACATGCTGAGTATGACTTTGCTCCAGGAGTGGCACAAACAATCTTTGTTTTTCTAGTGTTATGAGGGTATCTGAATCTGGTCCTGTGAAATTTCAGTTCAAAGTAAATCCAGATGGGCTGAATCAAGAATACTGCTGAAATGCAGAGTGACTGGGGAGAAATGAAGAGTAAAGGAGGGAGTTTGGATTATAAGACTGAAACAAAAAATATATATGAACATATAAAACAGTAAAAGACAATTAGAAAATATATTTATACTAAATTAAAACTTTATTGACTAATGTTCTCCAGACAACATGATCTGACGGACTATGGCTGCATACATGCAATGAAGTTGAACACAACAGTAGTTTAACATGGAATGTCAAACAAATTAATATAATGTATTAAATGAAACAATTTATCTGTGTTGCTGCAAAATGAAACTAAGCTATGTATTTCCTTGGTCAATCTGTGTTCAGCTAAGAGGCTATGCATTTGAAGAAACTGGTAGATTTCTTTAGCATATATTTCAAATAAATTAGCTAGAATTGTACTCTTTAAAAATCCTTTCAACTTCACTTGCATTTCAAACAAAATCTGAGTGTAAACACTAAAGTTGCTAGAGCCATCTAGAAAGACCTAACAGTGAAACTCAGAGTGAACATTACAGTTCAGTAAATGTGAATATTTAGAACAAGAAAAATACCAGTTACTGCAAAAGTCATGTAGGCATATTTTATTATTAATCCAGCACAAAGCATTTCTTCTAAGTTTCTCACATAAAAGACTAAAGCTTGTTTACAGTACTACGTCTTCTATCATTCAAGCATCATTATTACCTATTAGGGAGATTGGCTAGATGACCTAATGGGTCTTTTCCACCCCTAACTTCTACAAAACAAAATCATTCATGCCAGCAAGAACATGGTTCGCTACATCTTGGGCTTGATCCTGTAGCCTTCATTCAGGCAAAACTCCCACTTACTCCTTTAAAAGAGAGATTTTCCAGAGCGAGACATCCAGGATTAGGCCATTTTTATTTTGTACTTTTAAAAAAGCATCCGTTTAGGATACATGGAAAATATTCTATAGAATTAAAAAAATATAATGACGTGTGCTTCACTTGCATTGAAGGAATCAGAGAATGTAAACACCGCAGTGGCCCACATCTTCACAATATTCATAAGTGTCAACTGCAAGTAATCTGTGTGCATTTATTTCTCAACGTATGCTTCTGAGTGTGGTTTGTGTATACCTTTACCTCCACATCCACACACATACGTACACACTTAATATGCATGAAGGTATAATAAAATTCACTAAATGCAGTTGCTTGCCTCTCCTAGCGCTTAAATCTGCAAGTGGCAGCAAACTGGGTTTCATAGGATGCTGATTAGACTCTATGTGAGCAGCAGGACACAAATATGACTGTGGGCAAGAGTGTGGTTACTGGTTCTACGAGTGTGGAGCCATCCCACTTATGCACATCACAAAATCTACCTGCGTGAAGGGCTGGAAAAGCAGGTGACCAAAGTACTTCTTGGTGGGCCATGTCTGAAATTTGAGCTGATTGACTCAAAGGCTGCAGATTGTACTCACAGGAGCCTTTTGACTACCTGGAAGGCCACGTAGCAAAGTTTACCTTCAAAGTGCACTTTCTAAGAATGGAATGTTCTTGACAGGGAAATGATCAGAGGCAATCTTGGACTTTTTTGCTTGTTGAGTAGGAAAAATGTTTTCATCTTCAGGCAGCACTTCACCCTGACAAATGTGAGTCGAGTTATTATTGGGCTTTAGTATTACAGAAGATTCTTTAGAAACAAACATGATAGTACACACATACACATACACTCAGATATTTACAGCCTTTCTAGAAAAACAACCCTCTACCTTAGTATTGACTACCTTTTTTCTTTTTTTTTTTAGTATTTAAATTCTTTAAATGAGCTACATTAAATACCAATGTGTACTGTACCACCCCACACCAACCCGACATCCCCCCCCAAAAAACAGCAAGTATTTGAAAAGTTTGTTCGCTTGTTTGTTTGTTTTCATGATTGTTAAAATCTCCTGCTTGAGACTGTTAAGTACCACCTCCACTGGAACAAGATCAGCACTGACGGCATCTTCCAATGCACATCATTTCATAGTTGAGCAAGTACTGCAGCTAGAAGCTTAGATCTCCAGGTCATCAGGTCGAGGCCTGCTGCTGGCTCGGCTGCTGGCTCTGCTGGGAGGCCTCTGGTCCACAATGGTGAGGGGTTGCAGCTCATGTCCCGACGCCAGTTTTTTAGTGTTCTGGTGCTCGTCAGAGAAGTCGAAGGGCTGGGCGTGCGAGTTGGAGATGGTGCTGCCAGCCTGGCCCATTCTGTTCTGCTCTGCACTGTAGTTGGCCCAGTTTTGCTCACTAGCTTGCTTGTTGTAGTTACGACAGGAGGAATTGTTCCTGTCTCCAGTAACGAGCTTGTACCCTGGGGGAGACATGGGAGACAAGGGGGCAGTTGGTGAGGAGCAACCATTGTAATAAGCATATTTGGGGGAGCCACAGTCCTTGGAAGGGCTTATGGCACCGCTGTGGGAGTAGGGGTCGGTTTTCCCTTTCACACGATCCTTGACACCCTTGAAGAACACATAGAAAAGCTCGATGATATTCAAGGCAAGAGACACCAAGGACACGACCAGCATGAAGAGGATGAAGATGGTTTTCTCAGTTGGACGGGAGAGGAAACAGTCCACTCTGTGTGGGCATGGATCTCGCTCGCAGGTGTAGATGGCATTCAGGCTAAACCCATAAATGTACCACTGTATCAGCAAGAAAGCCACTTCGAAGACAGATTTAAACAGGATGCTGATGATGTAAGTACGGAGCAGTCCCCCACGCATCTTGACTTTGCCATGTTCTTCAATCCCATACTTGAATTTCTTAATTTCTATTTGCTTGAGGTGCATATCCACATTCACACCATCATTTTGGACCGCCTTGAGGTCTTCCTCTCTTTTGTTCAGCTTCTCTTCTTTCCTCATTACGTAGAACACGTGCGCCAGGTACAAAAGCGTAGGTACAGACACGAATATGATCTGCAGAACCCAGAAGCGTACGTGGGAGATGGGGAAGGACTTGTCATAGCAGACATTCTCACAACCAGGCTGTTGAGTGTTGCACCGGAAAGCAGACTGTTCATCTCCCCAGGCAGATTCAACTGCTGTCCCCAATAGCAAGATTCGGAAAATAAAGAGGACAGACAGCCACACTTTTCCTCCTGCAGTAGAATAGGCTTGAACCTTGTCAAGAAGTTTTCCCAAGGCACTCCAATCGCCCATCTTCCTGGGATGCTGGCTAAAGAAGGACACAAACAGAAAAAAAATAGTGATGATTAAGACAGAGCTTTAATACCTTTGATATACTGTCAATGCTAATAGAATAGTGCTGTCAGCTTTGTTTTAATTAATGAATTTTACACGATCTGAAGAGAAACCAGAGTTTTAGTTAGTCTGCAGGTGGAGTGGGAAGTCAGAGAAACTGAAAAGAGAAAGTAACATATAATGTATCAGAGCGCAATTTAAAAAGAGGTTTCTAATTTCACTCCAGGTTTCAAAAAGCCCATGACAACCCTCAGTTGCCACTGTGGGTGGCTCAGCTTCTTTGGTGGCAGCCTCAGTTCAATGACCTACACCTACCCCAGGTAAAAAAGATGTGACACAGTGCTGCAGCAAGGTGTGGAAGTATGTAGTGGCACTGCCTGCATATCCTAGGAATAAATGAAAGATGTCTCTCCTTCAGAGTGGATCATTCACAGTAATTTTTATGTATACTCTTTACGAGAGTAAGAAAGAAAACCACAGTATAACCTAAATACAAAAGGTTATACTAAGTTAATGTTACGGTCAGATACCTACAATTTTATCATTGCAAAATGTGTGCTATTTTTCCTACAGCAACATAAAACTGAGCTCTAGCATATCACTACACTATGTGTAATAAATTTAAGAGTATAGTTCCTAATGATGCCAAGTTTATACTGCACTCAGCTTCAGAAAAAAGATTGCTTTCTAAATAAAGTTTTTACATTAGTATTTGCAGCACAAAGATCAAAGTTAGTATTTGTTACCTATACTTTTATGAAGGAACCAAAAATAGTAAATACATGAAGCACAGCTAAGCTCATGTTACCATATTGCAGGAACTGTTTTCCTGTTTACCTGTGGCTTGCTTAATTTATTGTAGTTTCAGCATTTACTTCTTTTTGTATTTGAATTCCTTCACTTTGTTTTGAAAGGAAAAAAGATTTAGCAAGAACAAAAGGTAAATGAGCTCTTTCTGTTTTTAAGGCAACTCCTGGCATGCAGTTTGCATTCCAAGTGGTGAACACTGCAAGTTTAAATTGTCTCTCTTGAGTTTTAAAGTGCGCATTTCTGGGACACAGGCAGTTTCTCAGGAATATCTGAAAATACACAGGATGACATAAAAGAAGTGAAATGGTTTACTTGATATTCTTGATTCCTAGGAAAAACAAAGTTATCTGTAGGATTTTTATCAACTGGTGAATGCTAATCTTATCTGCATAAAAACTTACATTTTAACTCACCCCACATGAACAAGCATGTGAAATCAGGCACTTAAAAGGAAAAATAATCACAAAGTTTCCCTTTTAAAGTAGACACTGCTGGGTATGGCTATTTGTTCCGTGCACACTGAGCAATCTCTTCCTGGTATTAACAGTTCTGATAATGTCCAAATGATTTCCTTCCCATCATATCATGGATATATTCCCTAGTGAGTGTCATTTATAGCAAAAGCCCTTTTTGGATAATTCATAAAATAGGAAATTTTAGCACCAAGGAGATTTTCTTTCAAGAAGCAGTGAGTCACTGGAAACACAAGATTGTAAGTCTGGCAAACTCCATCGTAACAATAGATGCCAAATAAAAACATGCCGTTCCTGCCATCGGAAAGAGTCTGACAGAGTAATGGGAGACAAGTGTTTAAAGTACTCGCTCCGATAGCTCCTAGATGCCAATTATCTCTGAACTCCTGCAAAACATCCCAGGGCCATTTCCTCTGCCCATTCAGTCAGCTTGCTCTGAAGTCTACCTATTGTGGCGGGGTGCGGACCCTTCCTCAAGTAATTAGTAGTTTCCATGAATGAAGCTGCATCAAAGGATCAGGCCTGTTTTGGACTTTCAAATCTGGAAGCCTGGGCTGGGGCTGGGAGGAGGCGGCAGAGTGTTTCTCTCTGACATATCCTCTCAGCCACCCCCAGCTTTAGTCCTACCAAGGAAAGGCTCGTTTAGGGGCTCGGGGTGGCAGAGAAGGAGTCCGGCACACAGGCATGGAGGTCTCTGGAAAGGCTGGAATGAAATGTGACCACGTTCCTCCTCAGGCTGGGATTGTTAAAACAGAGAACAGCCTGTAACTATATAACACATGAAGTTTGTTTTAAAAGCAAGCTATTTGCTCCATGTCCTAGAAGTGGACAGCAGGAGCCTTTTTCAAGTAACAGCTTCTTGATATAATTAGTCAGATTTCCGATGATTCAAAACTACTGCATTCACAGGCTTTCCTCAGATTCAATGTATTTTTTTACTGTCTAAATGTTATTTCAGGTTGAAAGTTTGATTAAGAAAACAGAGGACATGTTATTTCTAGGCAGTTATGTGTTGTTTGTTTTTTACACTCCACTCTGGTACATTAATGCAATGTGATTTACTTAAGTTTTGACCTACTTAATCACACACCTGCAATATTTTGAGAATTTACTACCTATTTTTTAATTTGCTTCAGCGTGCAAAATTGCAAAGTTTCATTTATGTCCTCTGGCAATATAAACTCCAGGAGGAAACATTCCATGCTTGAATTACTCATACGTAGTTTTGAAAAGCGACTTTTTTTAAAGAGATCAGTTACATGCTAGCCTTTGCTAGTGATAAAAAAACCCCACATCAATTCAAAACATTATACTGTTAATCAGATAACCTTGTGGTGGCACAAATATATTATTCCTTTCCTTAAGTGGATTCTATTGCTTTGTGAAACACAGTACTTTGTTTTGTTGTAGAGAAAATTCATGCGTCAGATTGAACGTGTTTACTTTCAGGGCACTGAAAGACCACTTTTATTAACTGATTACAATATGTTTGTGAGGTACAAAAAGAGGCTTTCTATCAAACAGTTATTTAAGTATCCTAGCTTTGTAAATAAATGTTAAATGAGTCCACTGAATGAGACAGGTTGACCTGATTGATTGGTACACTTTCAGTACTTCAGGAATTTAAGGGTATATCTGATGATGAGTACATGTGTTTCATGAGTTCTTACTGATTATTGCTTTACAGGATTGTAGCCTTTTTCTGAGATGGACTAATGCCAGCCTAGTAAACTCTTTAAAAGATGGACTTCTTCCAGGTCCTACTGTGTGTGGGTAAAGATAAGAAAAAAAGCCATAGAGCAGCAGGAGATATGACAGCATTCATCTGCATGAGTTTCAGATGACCACATATATAAGAAATTTGATTTGTAAACCACAATTAAGAAATTCTAGAACTATTTTTCATGGATGGTATTCATCATGTCATCTCGTTCATATTTTCCAACAAGAATAATGCAAACTCAGTGTTGTGGTAACATGCTCAGGTCTAACTAGTGTTAGAAGGTCACATGCTAGTGGATGGAAGGGCAGTAAGGGTTAGAGTGGGATCTAAAATGGGATTTTGCAGCTGAAACAGTTGGGAAACGAGCCAAAGTTTTGGTTTTCCTACCTTTCCTGTCTTTTTCTGTGTGCTCACACACACAGAAATAGCCGACAAAAGATTCTGGATCTTGAACATCAGTCAGCTTGAGTAGCTCCCAAAAGAAACCAGCATTGCAGAGAAGGCAACAGAGATGTACAACTCATGGGATTTGGACGGGTTGGAAGAGGGAAGGCTAGTTTTCTGAAATCTTACAAAAATCAGCAAATGTCTTCTAGACACCCTGGAAAGGTGTACTTTATTTGTAGGTCTGCAGATGAGCTTCAGTTCATTTCAGCCACTGGACAAAGATCATGCACTAAATGGTCACAGTAACTAGAATGTCGAAGTGTCAGAGCTGTGTGGTTTTTTGTTTTCTGCTAGTACTGCTGGTGGTCAGCTGCTTGCAGATCACCCCAGAGCCTTCGCTTCTCCTGTGTTGTACGCTCTCCACCTAATTTAATTCTAACGCACAGTTGCAAAAGGACCCAAAGCAGTCATAAGCACGGTGTTAGACATTATCTAGCTGTACAAAGTCAGGTCTACCCTCTGTGTTACTGCCCAGATTCACCCCTCTCCTGACTAACTTTGGAATTAAGAGAAGAAATTATTAATTCTCTGAGGAGGTCTCAGGTCCTCTGATGCTCCTACTTGTGGATTTAGAAATCTGGATTTCTAAAATATGTGTGGCATAAACAGCCAGACCAGGTGCCTCCATGTGAGATAAGTTCAGTGGGTAACATGGGGAGGAGACACCAGAGACTGGGCGAAAGAACAACGTATCTGATGAAACATACATTGCTCAATGTCATCTAACCTTCCTCGTGCCCACAGGAATCCTTGGCCTAAACTGATCTTCATTTCAGAGACAAATAAGATTAATCTTTCAGGCTTGCATAATGAGAGCTAAGATAACTTTGCAGTGTTGAATCTATTTGCGCTGCTGAGTGTATGAGCATTCAGATTTATGTCTCAAATCAAATCCCTTGTGTCCCTCTTCTCCCTCTCCTGAACTCGGCCTGTTGCTCACTTCTCTCCCATTTATATGCTTGTTAGGTATCATGGGTCAGTGCCAGTGTTTGGCTTTGAAGTTTCTGAAGGAAACACTTCAGTAAACATCCCAGAGACTAGAGGCTTAAATTCTGCAGTGTAGTGTGTTGTCCAGATGTTGAAAATGGCAGGATGAAAGCTTCACGCAAGTCCTCCAACTTGCTCCCTATGTGCACAAACACACACGCACAATCACACAGAAATTAAGCGCAAAGTGTCTGTACCCTATTTTCTGTCCCCATTATCAGGGGTTTCTGTCATACATCTCACACACAAGATCAAAAGGAATTTCACAGACAAAATACGCCACTTCACGAGGCTTGCTGGCTACCTCAAGGCAAAATGTGAGAACACACATAAGCACACAGTATTCTTGTTTAAGAGGAGAACGTGTTACTCGATAAGATAGACTGTTCTTCGTCTTTCAGCTGCAGGCTCTTTTTCCTGCCTCCTCGTGTTGCTCTTTAACTACTGGCAAGCAGCAGGCAACAATTGCTGCAAGGAATCACTCCAAGTCTTGCAACGTAAAAAGTTTCTTAGTTCTCCAAGAGATGCTGCTCGAGCATTTTTTCCCCCTGCATTTTGGTGTTTAAGCCTTCAAGGTAATATAAAGGAAATGTGTCATATTGGGATTATGACACATTGTGGCAATTCTTCCTAGACGACTTTCATTTATATCCACCCAAGACTTTCACAGACATTGTCAACGTGGTAAGGCATATCTTGATATCTCACATTCCTTCCCTAAAATCCTTCACCGAGGTTGCTAAAACAGAGTAACTATATACAAACCAGGTTAAAAATCCGTAACCCACGTCTGGATTTTATCACAGCTATTTCAAGAGAAAAGGGGAAAACTTATCAGGAAGACCACGTGAAAGTCACCACTTCGGTAGCTGTAGCATTTAACAAAGCACCTAATTAAGAACCTTGCTCCGCACAAACTGTTAGGCATCAATCAGGATTTCCATATGAAAGCAAAATGCGTGGGGCAGAAATAAGATGCACCGGGGACGAGGTCTCCCTGTTACTAACTTCTGATGCAATTTCGGTACAACAGAGGAGGCTGAAGTGCACCTCGACTTTTTTTTTTTCTTTAAAGGAGCCCATTTAGTCCGAGACCAGCTCAGAGAGAAGCGATTTCACCCAAACACAAGCAACAAGTCTGCAACTCAGCCCTGCAGTTCAGTTGTAACTTCACCGCAGTTTCTCCTTCAGGGGAACGAGGTTATAAGTTGTAAAAGTGGAATATTTAAAGAAATGTGTAGAAGTACGACAAAAGAAAGCAGAGAATTCCTGCAAGTTTTAACTTAGCACTTTAAGAGAACTTACGCTTTTATAGATGTATATTTTTTTAAGCCAGTTCAGCCATTCAGCGCAGTAACACAAAATTCTCAGGGTGGAAAAAAAAAGTGTTTTCAGAAAAAGTGATACACAAAAAGATGAAAAAAGAAAACTTTCAACTTACCCTTGCTGATGAGCAGTGAAACTGAATCAGAATACTTCTTTGGAGGGCTAAAGTAAAATGGAAGAGCACGTTCAGGCACTCAGACCTGTCTATTTAAACTTTAAAACCCTACTGCTGCTTTGTATTTTTCATCCTTCCTTCCCCACTAATGAAAGAAAAGTGCTGATACCTCGTAAAAGTTTTTTCTAACTTGGAACACTGGGAGAGCTTTTAACAAGTTTTCAAGGCTCTGACTGTGAGAGAGGAGGGGAGAAGGAGGGGTGGCAGCCCAGGAGGAGGGGCGCTCTGCAAATGGAGAGGAGGAAGGTGGGGGAGGAGAGAAAGAACTGAAGGCACAGCAAAATCCAGCCCGGGGAAAAGGAGGGAGCAAAGGCATGGAAGTCCACTCTTGCTGATGTAACAAAACAAATCTAAGGGCAGGCAGTAGCCACCCCAACCTGCCCGCCCCCCCCCTCCATCCCGGTCGCTGAGTGCATTTGGGTGGCACTTGATCCAGATCTGGGCTTGCCCGGGACAGATGAAACAACTTAGCTCTCTGGTGTGCACCAGGAGTCTCACTGCAGGGAGAGGGAAAAATGCGTGAAAGGGATTAATGGGTAACCAGCGTGAACCTCCCGGGGCTGGACCGCATAGCTGTTGTCTCCATTCCCTCCTCACCACCATGTAGGAGAGGAAGCCCTCTCAAGCCCTCTCGACTTTTTGTTGAGAACACAGCTTCCTTTACATGCGCACATGAAAGTACACACCAGGAGCAGTGTATTTGTTTCTACAGGAGATACCCATCACACTTCTTTTATTATTATTATTTGTATGTGTGTGTGTGTGTCTGTGTGAATGTGTGTGCACGTCCATCCCATGGGAGAAATGAAGAAATGATGTCACATTCCAGGAGACTCTTTCCAGGAAACTTCAGAAAATAAAGCATGGTACAGAAAATCAGTCTTCAGTAGTGAGAAGAAATGCTCCTGATAATTTTTGAGCATGTTTTATGGAATAAAAGCATGCTTCAAAACTGCTCTACTCAATTAGAATGTAACTAGTTTGGCTTTGGTCCTGATCAGTGCCTGATTAAACACTTATTGAAAAATGCCTCCTCTGTAGAACAGAGAATAATTTATTTCTCTGCCTGTGTTAAGCTCCTCACACATAGGGTCCAAACTGCACAAGGAATTGATCTTGGACTTTTTTGTGTCATGGGCTATTAGCTCCTCTGTGGGACTGCTTAAGAGCTTCTCTAGAAGAGTTCGTGGTTAGGTAGTTCTCAGTGGAGTTTCACATTTTGGGTAGTACCAGGCTGATTTAGGTTTCAATTCATGTTATTCTCATGGGCTGTTCCTGGGCTCAGTAGCATAGATGAGCATTTTTTGCTCTTTAAAGGCTACAAAGGAGGGGAGAAGTCCAGTAATGGCCATTGAGAGGTTCCCAAATAAAGGTCCTCTTCACAGTTCTTCTTGCAATAATGTTACAGTCTACAACACAATCCGGACATTGCTGCTTGTTTTTCACAGCCTTTACCTACTGCTTTTCACCCAGAATTCTTCAGACAAGAGAACCAAGACAAGATCTTTGTAGAAAGATACTTGGCAGCGAGCTTTGAAGCTGGAAAACAAAACAGTGGTTTTGCTGGTCCTGGTTCTTGCTCTAGAGCTGTTTATAGCAGACTACACTGCCTCCTGTTTGAGAAAAAGAGCTAGTACACTGTAGCTGTACACCGTCCACTCTCCTTCCTCTGGTTACAGAGGGAGACGGTTGGTTTCCCTAGCTTGCCCCCATTCCTTTGATACTGGCTGTTAGTTTTGACAGGTTTTTTAGTCTTCACAGTTGTCCAAGCCACATGGCAGAAAAAACCCAGTTTTCTTCATGTTTTCTTGAGTGTTGATTTGAGGTTGCTTTTTCTTTTCACAGCAGGGGAGAAATGGAGCTTTGTGCTTAACAGGCTGTGGGCCCTTCTTCTTGAGAATGAAAAAAATTGTAATATACAAACCATAGCATTTCACTGCCTTCATGGCTATGGTATAGACAGTGAGCAGAGTACGCTCCTGCTCCTGCTACTGCCCCATAAAGCACTGGTTATTCTACAGCAAAGTACAAAATGCCACCAACATGGCTATGTGTCTGCCAATGCTAAGACAATGAGGAGATTTGGAATGCCATATATGTTGGTGCTGAAAAAACTGCCCTTTAGGAAAGCAGAATTATGCCATGAAAAAGCCCCTTGAATTATAGCATGCTAGGATACAATGCTATCATTCCCTGTCAAAGCCAGCGGATCACAGGGTCCAATCTTGCATTTTTCCATGTATCTTCTTGTATATGCTTTGCAATTTTTCAAGCATTCTGTTTTTAAAACAAGGACTGAGAAGTACTTCTCCATTTAAATAAACAAATGGTGTTTGTGAAAAGCCCAACACTCCTTTAACCCACTCTGGAAAACTAAAGTGTATACGTTAGTAACAAGGAAAGAATAATTTTGCAGCAATAATAAGCATAACACTTGGCTTTGCTACAGCATTATGCACATGATAAGGGAAAATAATTCAAGTCTCCAGTGTGATACCATGTAGAATAAGGAAGAATTATTATTAGTCCTGATAAAAATGCTTTGGAAATGTCTTTTAGAGTTTGGAAATACGTCTCCATGATCATGTTTCACAGCCTATTACCAGAACATGTTCAGCTTCAGGTGTTGCAATAATCTACCATTTCACAAGGTTACCAGAAAGTCTCACATTCATTTGCATCACAATGGAAATAAGCTTTTCAGATTAAACAAACATCTTCACATACTACCCCTCTTCAGCAGAAGCTGTGTTCAACAGGAAAGCACTGGGGTGTCAGGACTGAGATATTTGCAAGTCTGTTCTGAATTATGGACTAAGAGAGGAGTAGGGATATCACAATTAGATTTGAAGCCTTGTACTGTTTAACACAGACTCTTCTTACACCATGGAATTGAAGGTTTTGGGGCCCAGAGCTAACTGGGACCTAAATTACCATCCATTGACGTTGCCTTTTGGAGCAAGCAGCGCTGTCTTGCAAAGCACTCTTCCAGTGTGGTGATGCGAAGACTGCAGAACCTGTTTGTCTTTGGTTTGGCAAGTTACAGCACAACCCAAAAGGGCACGTTCGCACTGCAGCCCAGGTGCAGTGCTGAAGCCCAGGCTCCCTCAAGTGCATCTCTGGGGTTGAACCTTGGGGTGACTCCACAGGGTTTTTGTCCACTCTCTACTGAATCTTCAGCTGAATCAGTGAAATAGTTTAGAGTCAGTAGTACCACTGCTGCTTTTCTACACAGAATTACCAAAGAGGACCATAAATTGGATTATTTAGTATCTGCAGCCTATGACACAGATTAATGGTTAATACAGAACTCAGTCCACTGGTTTTTTTCTATATCTTACCTGAACATGAGTACAGAATTCTATACAGAAAATTTTTCCTCATCTTTCCTTGAAGTACTTCCTAAAAAATACCTTAGTAGCCTGATTCACCAGGAAAACCCTAGTGAATATTTCATTTGGAAAACTCTCTAGTCCTTTGACCATTACAAAATTTCCCATTGACACCAATGGGTTCATGGTGTACTCTCAGTTAAGGATGTCTCAGATTTATGGAGCTCTTAATGCACTTATTTTCAATTTGTTTGCAAAATTCACTTCCCAGTACTCCCATGCACATCACTGTCCTTGTCCTGTGCATGGGAGAGAAGTCCATGGACTAAGTAAAATGAGCTGAATATACAGTAAACTGAGATGAATATACATGTACATATAGATTTTCTAGGGTGCTTTTCAAGGCAGCTGTGCAGTCATCCACTTCCCTGGTTGGCACATAAGCTTTGGCAAGATTTCATCAGTATCCCTTTCTCTTTAAAGACAGACTTGTGAATAATGCGTGGCTCTGTTTCATGCCCTATTGAGGTAAAGCTTCTCAGAATGTCCAAGGAACGATAATACAGTACTTCTTGATTACCTAAGCACAAAAGTGTGCAGAGTAATGATTTTTTTTTTAAAGCAGACAGTGGATTTTGCTTGTTTAAGAAATTTTCATCACATAGAAATATAACACAGCTTTGAAGTTGCTGGCCACAAGCCCTTCATGTCATGTCAGCTGTGAGTAGCTGCGCCTAGCAGTGTGGTGTCTGCAAAACACAGCACCTTCTCTACACAGAGTTTCAAAGGGTCATCATTTGTGCAAAGCAAAAGCAATGGTCATCCCCCAAGTGGCAGCTGTTCCCACTTGGGTGGCACAGCACACAGCATATGAGAGAATATTTTCTGATAATCGTGAGGATAGTAATAATGAAAGTAGAATAACCACAATAATGCGTTCTTAGTGAGCACACTTGCTGGTCTTTGTCGAAACTGGTTTCTTGGATTTATTTGCTATGGGACTATCAAAGCTCAATATTCCCCAGGGGAAAAGGAGGCTTAGTCAGCGTAAGGTAGATTCTGCTCTTGCTGATCTGCCTGCAAAAGAAAAAACTTGCTGTTTGTAAAGAGGTCCTGCTGGAAGCACATCAAGGCTGAAGCACCTCACATGAAAGTGTGGAGAAATTCCCAGGGACAAATGCCATCGAGTCAGAGCCCAGCCTAGCAAATGGCCGCTATTCTCTGGAAATATTTTGCACTGTAGCACAGTCATCTGTCTAGAATCTCAAGAGTGTCTTATAAACATTAACATAGAACAAGTTACATTATATTAACCTCTTTTACAGAGATGGGAAGTTTGTCATGGAGAATACCAGCAGCTCTTCTGAGTCATAGACAGGTCATGGAACAACCAGGATTAGAAGCAAAATTTCTTAATATCAACCTCCGTCCTTTAAGGCCCAAATTATTCTCTCTTATTCTCTAGTTGCTGTTTGAAATATCAGCTAGCAGTGAAAACAGCTAAATAGCTGTTTCTTTTTAAAATTTGTGAGAATCGCAGAGAAGGAAAATGCAGTGTTCAAAGTTTGTAGTGATTGTCTCCTTTCTGTTCTTTGTGCTGGTGCCTGCCACTTCACATCACTAAGATCTCAACTTCTTCATGCTGATACTCAGCTTGCTCACTTTCCTATCCTACATTTAAAAATATGAATTTGTTCCTGGCTCGCTGATGAACAGAAAGGGAGAAGGGTAATACATGGAGGCTCAGATCCTCTTCAGCTGTGCCAAGGAACTTCTAAACCTCATTACAGACAGTTTAAACATCAGAAAAGTTGATCTTAAAAGGATTTAACCCAACATTCTGATTCCAAACAAAA